GGAAGTGGCTGACTTACAAGCTTTCATGAGTGTGCTTAGTCGTAGAATGAGGGGGCAGAAAAAGAGAGACAACAGAAAGGATAAGAAACAAGATCCTTGGATACACTGTTTACAAGAGACACATCAAAACAATGGGGACAGCCTGAATACCCATCAACAGAAGAATGGCTAAAGGAACTTTGGTATATACACACAATGCAACTAAGACTCATGATGAATCTGCAGAACACCTTGCAACACAGATGAACCTGGCGGACATTCTGCTGAGTAAAATTAGTCAATCACAAAAGGACAAATATATGAGACCAGTGTTATAAAAAGTTAAAAAAGGAAAAAAAAAAAAAAAAAAGGTTTTCTTGATAAAAGAAATAATCTATGATGGTTGAGGGGGAATTATTCATGGGTTAGATAGAGGGTGACACATGTTAACACGGATGACAGGGCAGACAATATACAATAAGAGGAAGGTTAACAAAGAAGAAAGTAGCGTGAGACAGGGAGGAATGCAATAGATCAAGATTTTGTTAGGTGCCATCGAGTCGGCACTGACTCACAGTGACCCTATGCACAATAGAATGAAACACTGCCCGGTCCTGGGCCAACCTCACAATTGTTAACACGCTTCAGCCTATTAATGCTGCCACTTTGCCAAGCCATCTCATTGGAAGTCTTCCTCTTTTTCTCTGACCCTCCACCTTACCAAACATGATATCCTTCTCCAGTGACTAGTCCCTTCTGACAATATGTCCAAAGTATGAGAAACGAAGTTTGGTCATCCTGGCCTCGAAGGAGCACTCTAGCTGCACTTCTTCCAACACAGATCTGTGGGTTCTTTCCGCACTTTCAATATTCTCCTCCAACGCCATAACTCAAAAGCGTCTACAGTCTTCCTTATTCACTGTCCAGCTTTCGCATGCATATGAGGTTATTGAAAATACCATGGCTTGTGTCAGGCGCACCTTAGTACTCAAGCTGACATCTTTGCTCTTCAACACTTTAAAAAGGTCTTGTGCAGCAGACTTGCCTAATGCAATACTTCCTTTGATCTCTTGACTGCTGCTTCCATGAGTGTTGATAGTTGATCCAAAAAGAATGAAGTCCTTGACAACTTCAATCTTTTCTCTGTTGATAAGAATGTTATTTATTGGTCCAGTGGTGAGGATTTTTATTTTCTTTACATTGAGATGTAATCCATACTGAAGGCTGTCCTCTGTGATCTTCATCAGTAAGTGTTTTAAGTCCTCTTCACTTTCAGCAAGCAAGGTTGTATCATCTGCATATCACAGGTTGTTAATGAGTCTTCCTCCAATCCTGATGCCACGTTTTTCTTCATATAACCCAGCTTCTCGGATTATTTGCTCAGCAAACAGGTTGAATAAGTATGGTGAAAGAATACAACCTTGTCGCACACCTTTCTTAATATGAAACCATTCAGTGTTCCCATGTTCTGTTCAAACAACTGCTTCTGGGTCCATGTACAAATTCCTCATGAGCACAATTAAATGTTCAGGAATACTCATAGATAAAGTGAATAGAGATAAATACTGTTAACTGTTGATTCATTAAGAGGATTGTAACCATGTAATGAAGCAAAGTATATGATTTGTTGAATGTAAAGCTGCCTGTATCCTTAGAGAAAATCTCCATAACCTTCCATTCAGATCTCCTGTCTTCAACTCATCTTTGAGGTCTTCCTGACCATCCTTAAAATACTTAATCCACCAAAAAACTGTTGTTCTATGTGGGCAGCATTCCTATAAATGTGGTGTAAATCTTCAATAATTTAGGAAGATGTCCACTTGAATTTTGTTAAAAATTTGATATTAGCCCTGAGCTCAAATTGGTTTTTCCCCATACATCTTTTTTTTTTTTGAAGAAGACCTAATGAGACTTGAACTCCTGCTGTGGCACTGTGCACTGGGCTGTGAACCACAAGTTCGGTAATTCAAACCTACCAGGTTTCCTCGGAAACCCTATCCACAGTTGCCATGATTCAGAACTGACTTGCCGGCACTTACTAACAACAATGAGACTAAGACAAGTATGACTGAGAGAACTTGTCTGCAGTCATCCACTGTGTGCAGAGATATGCAAAAAAAAGAAAAAGGTTTGGAATAAGCCATGTATGTATCAACGGGAACCCTAGCAGTAATACCTTTTCACTTACCCTCATATACAGTGGAACCTTGTACAACATGGGGTCAGAGGCACTGACGTACCATCCCCTGTGCAGTTGAAACTTTGTGTGTAACTTCTGACTCCCTAAAAACTTAACTACTAATAGTCTACTGTTGACCAGAAGCCTTGTCGATAACATAAACAGTTAATTAAAACACATTTTGCATTTCTATGTATTAGAGACTGCACCTACAGAAAAGCTACACTTTTAATATGAGATAAAAAGGTATTTTTCAAAATGTGCAAAGTTTTTGTGCCTGTTGGCATAGCTGCAATACAGCAATGATTTCACAAATTTCCTTTTCTTTTTTTTTTACAATGGTCCTTACTCTGGGTTCATTTATCTTGAAATGGCAGGTAACTGCAGTTGCAGACCTCAATCTATGGTATATATTAAGCTATTCAACTTTTTCTTATAATGCCATGACTTTTTTCTCCTTCTTGGGAGCATTTCCAACATTACTAGTTGTACTTTGGATGGGTCCCCTGGTCTTATTCAAGGATACAGTAATGCACTAAGCATGATGAAAAACAGGCAAGACCCACAAAAGATCATCTCTTTACTGTGACGCACAATTTACTGGGGAGACAAACTGCTAGTGTAGAGGTGATTAGCATCATATACACATTTAAAAAAATCATATGTAAATAGACCCATACTGTTAAAGCCTATGTTGTTCAAGGGTCAATTGTATAAATGAATTGAGAAAATGGAATGAAAAAATAGAGGAATTTTTCCACGAGCTTTTTGAAGCCCCCTTCTTTATATATGTAGGTGTGGTGCCAGAGGGTAAGTATTGCCTACCACAAGATCAGTGGTTCAAACCTACCAGCTGCTCCTTGGAAACCCTATTCAGAGTCATTACAAGTCAGAAAGGACTTGACGGCACCTAACAACAACAACAATATGTTGTTGTGCATGTGTGTGTATATATTGCCATTGTTGTTAAGTGCTGCTGAGTCGATTCCAACTCATAGTGATCCTGTATAGACTTTCCAAGGAGCTGCTGGTGAGGCTTGAACTGCTAACCTTGCAATTCAAACTGACCTTGCAGTCCAGCATATTAACCCACAGCACCACCCCAGGACTCGTGTATTGTTGTTAAGTGCCTTCAAGTCAATCCTGACCCACAGTGACCCTATACAGGGTTCCTGAGGAGTGGCTAGTGAGCTTGAACCATCAACCTTGCAGTTCAAACCAACCTTGCAGTCCAGTGCATTAACCTATAGCACCATACCAGGACTCTGTGTGTATATATAGGAAGTAGCAACTCCCTAATAACAATTAGTACACTTAGTACCAAGGTAATGACATCTAAATATGACACTTCACTAAAAGGAACCCAGAATATTTGGAGAAATGGTTGATTCTGGAGCTGCCACAGATTTGCAAAATAAATCAGGAATATGGGATTCTGCCAGAAAGTAAGTAAGTGCTCAAAGAATGAAATGAACATAGAAGCCACCTCAGAGCCACTCCACTGGTCAAATCTAGGACAGATTGAGCATCAAAATAAATAATAGTTGTAAAGAAATATAACTCAATGAATACAAGAGGAAAACAAAAATCCATATAGATATAAATAAATTAATATACATTGAAAGTTTGATAAAGAATTAGATATTGATAGTTTCAAAGTACCTCCCCATGAAACATTTACTACTGACCATCTTGGTCAAGTAATGAAAGTAAGTACCGTCAGTAATGGTAACAGACAAAATCATACACCCCTCAGAGGATGCAATGAGAGGAACACAGCATGACGTGTCCCTGGGGTATCCCTGGCAAAGCTGGAGCACCCAACTCTAATATCATAAAATATCACACGAACCAAAGTGAAGGGCATTCTACAAAATAACTGGCCTAGACTCTTTGAAAATGTCATGATCATCATTGAGAAACTCTTCCAGTCTAAAGACTGAATAGTCACAATGTGTTGTTAGTGCATTAATTTTGACATCTGTATGGCAGTAATTAGGAAAATGTCTTTATAGGCAGTACACACTAATGTATTGCATAATGGCAAAGCATCAGATTGTCAACTTACGCTCAGAAGTTCAGAGAACAAGGTCTTTGATACTGTACCTGCAACTTCCTTGTGGGTTTGAGATTGTTTAAAAAAAAAAACTTAAGTAACTTTCTAGGAGACTTTCTGTTCTGTGGGTAAGAAATCATTTTTAAAATAAAATTCCAAAAAGAGTTTAGGATAAAAGATTGATACAGCTGATTACATAAAAATTGACACCAAAGAACCAGGGAACAAAACCAATAAACTTAAAGAAGATATTGTAATACATGTAACTAACAGTGGATCAGGAGCCAAATTATGCATGAATGGTCTCATGATAAAAGAAATGGAAAAGGGAAGGTGTAGTTTCCAAGGGCCATGTGAGCATATTTTTTACAGTTGTTGTGTTTGTTTGTTTTTTTACCATGATAGATATATATGCAACAAAACATTTCAACATTTTTATCATTGGAGTGTTCAAATGTTATGAGAAATCTTGTTAAGTGCCGTCAAGTGTGTTCCAACTCATAGTGACCCTGTGTAGGGTTTCTAAGGATCAGCTGGTGGGTTTGAAATGCTGACCTTGTGGTTCACAGTCCAGTGCTGATCCACAACGCCACACCCGAAGTCCTAGCCACCAATGAAGTCCTTTCTTCAGTTTCAAAAAAAAAAAACTGAGTAAGTTTCATAGTCTTAAATCTCATTCACTTCTTTAGCAGGTTCACAATACTAAGAAGCTATGAAGAGGGAAAACACAGTCACTTTCTCTACTTTACAAGTAGAAAAATTAAGCCAAAGAGAAACGACCCATCGTCACTCCTTTTTACAAACCAACCAGCGCTTCCCTAATCTCTTCACTGCTGCCTGCATCTCCTGGTTCCTCAGGGTGTAGATCATGGGGTTGAGCATGGGCGTCATGACTGTATGGCTGATGGACACAGCCTTGTCCATGGAGAATGGGGTGAATGGGCGTGCATACAGGTAGATACTTGGAATGAAGATCATAGACACTACTATGATGTGAGTGGTACAGGTGGACGCTACCTTCTTTCTTGCCTCCCCGGAGTGGGACCTCAACATTATCAGAATGATTGAGTAGGAGAGCAGAAGGAGAAAGAACCAGATGGCATCCAGTACCCCACTGTTGGAGATCATGAGGAACTCCAAGATAGAAGTGTCAGTGCAGGCTAGTCTCAGTACTTGAGGAACATCACAGTAGAAGTTATCCAGCACGTTGGGGCCACAGAAAGGGAGTGGGAGCATCAGAACCACTTGGGAAATGGAATGAAGGAAACCTCCAATCCAGGCAGCCACCACTAGCCCCACACAGAGCTGAGGGTTCATGATGGTGACATAGTGGAGGGGCCGGGAGATGGCAACAAGGCGGTCATAGGCCATCACTGAGAGGAAGAAGATCATGGCACCTCCCAGAAAGTGGAAGAAGAAGATCTGGGCTAGGCAGCCCTGGTAGGAGATGGTCTTGTTCTCAGAAAGTAAGTCAACCAGCATCTTTGGGGCAGTGACTGAAGAGAAACTCAGGTCTAAGATAGCCAGGTTTCGAAGCAGAAAGTACATGGGTGTGTGGAGCCGGGAGTCAGAAGTCACTGTGACCACAATGAGGAGATTTCCCACCACAGTTGTGATATAGACAAACAGGAAGACTAAAAACAGAAATTGCTGAAGCTCTCGAGTCTGCGAGAGACCCAGGAAGACAAATTCTGATACCCACGTGAGATTCCCTGAATCCATGGTATTTGCTCCATACACCTAAGGAAAATAAGTCACAGTCATAGATGTATAGAATCACTGCTTGTCTTTTAATGTCAGAAGCGGTCCAGAGATATCCTCTTGAACAGATTATAATACTATATGTTGATCAGTGAACCCTATCTTTGGGGCCTTTACAAGTTGAGTGCTGTAATATGCATTGCTGAAAGCCACCCAGAAGCATATGTATGTAACCTGACTCCAGGAGTTCTATGAAGTCAATGTAATGTTGTGAAAAGATGTTTGGAGTCAGATGATCTGGACCCAAAGTCAAGTCTTCCATTTCCAGCAACTTAACCTTGAGTAAATACTTAATCCCTCTGGGTTTCAATGTCAACATCTTTAAGGAGGGAATACAATTGCTTTCTTTATGGAGTTGTTTGGGGGCTAAAAGAGAATAACACATATAACGTTTCTAGTTTAGTGGCTAGAACAATAAATGGCAACTACCTTTCTGTTTCTCTGAATTCTAAACACACCCTGTTTGCTTCAAATCTCCACTAAGTTTTACTCAATAGTTTTCCAAGTAGCCATTATAATATTAATGAACATAGCTTCTATGTTTTTTCCTCCACAATTCAACCATAAACTCTTAATGATGTAAATCTAGGTTTACAACTGCACAGTGCCCATTCTCACCCATGATCAGTATCAGTAAGTATGGGGTGGTGACTGCTTGGTGAGTGAATAGTTACAAGGTGAGCAAATCAGTTTAAGTGAGCCCCTGGTCATAGTTGAACGCTGAATCTTCCATTTGACCTCCCCAGTGTAAATGGTTTCTTACTGGGTGAAGACAGGACACAAGTGGAATGTTTGCTAAGACAAGAGGAAGAGAGGAAGAAGATTCATTAGATTAAGAAATGGATGGAGTATGAAGGTGACTTTGAGAATTTTGGTAGAAAGGACAGCAATTTTAGACAATGTTACTAAATCCAAGGTTAAAAGAGAAAAGGAGATGTTGAATGAAGTGAAACATAAATAAATTACAGTGATTAAGAGGATGTGAGATAGAGGAATAGAGCAAGTGAAGGAAGGGAAATGAAAAGTGGGAGGAAAGATGGAAAAGAAGAAGAAGGGGGAGACATAGATAATGACAAGGACAGAGCGTAAGTTGCTTCTCCAGCCCCCTGCCCTGCCTTAAACCTTAATCCTTTCTCATCTTGACTTTTAACTCTAATACCCACTAGAGGTCATTTCTATTCTAATACTCTGCTTCCATTTGATTCTGCTCCAGTCCATCTTCTATCCCGTTGCCAATGAGACTTTTCTAAACTCCCATCTCAGCAAGCTTCTTCCCTACTTACAGACTCTTAGTGACAGATTTTTAAAGCTCCTTAGGAGCCAGTCACATCAGATACTTGGTGTATCAAATCAGGTAGACTCTTTCTCAGCATGTCATACAAGGCGGTAAAATGTAGCCTCCATCCACTTCTCTAATCAGTGTTTCTACTACCCAAGAATCAACTGCTGTTTAAGGAACTTATATATTTGGCTAATTCTATATATCTTTGGTTATTATTCTGTTTTCTGAACTATCTTTCACTACCTTCTCCATTTAGAAGCACTCAGATGTCGTCCCACTCTTCCCATGTAGACTTAATTCCTTATTTCTCTGGATTCCGATATTGTTGTTGTTGTTATGTGCCGTGGAGTCAGTTCCGACTCATAGCGACCCTGTACAGGGTTTCCGAGGCTGGAAATCTTTACGGGAGCAGAAAGCCTCATCTTTCTCCCGCGGAACAGCTGGTAGTTTCAAACTGCTGACCTTGCGGCTCACAGCCCAATTCGTAACCACGACACTACCAGAGCTCTTTCTGGATTCTGATAACACCTTATAAATTCCTCTCTTTTCTTACAATGTTTATCATTTGATTGTTTTTGTTGCACACCCATCCCCCCTGCTTTACAACTAGACTGTAAATTCAATAATTTAGGACAATAACCTAGGCAGTAACTCTGTCTTAGCTGTTTCTTAAAAACCGTTTGCTAATTTAATGGATTATTTAGGTAATTATGTGACTTTCATTCTATGGAGAATTTTGGAATGAGTTTCCTTTGTTCTCAGCATCTTCTGAGTCCTAGGGCAAATTCTATGCTTGGTTGTTCAAAGCTGGCTTTCACATGAACCGGAAACAGCTGTTTTCAACAACACATTCCTACTGGATGACTTTCTGATGTTCTCCTCACACATTAAACCCACTAGCATCAAGTCTATGCCCTGTTTCTAGTCCTTCAACCGTCCAGCAAATGTTGCATGATCCTCCTTACAGTAAAACCCTTCTACAGGTGAAGAACCCTTCTTCTCACCTTCATTTAGCCCAGATGGGAGAGGGGCTTTGAGACTTGCATCTTTTTGGAGCTCCTTTCCCCAAAGCTTCAGTTTTCCAGCCCTTGCCCATACTTCAGTACACACTAATGAGTGTGACCCTAAGGGAAGTGGAAGTACCCTTGGGGAGAAGATATTGGACTGGGCTTAGGAAGCAGAGCTGGGCTGATTACCACTGGGGACAAGGAAGCAATGGGAGTTGTTAAAAAGTTTCTAAATGTCTCAAAAACATATACTCTTTGAGAGGTCTGCCTTGGGGGTCAAAAGGGTATTGAACATTTTAAAGATTTCAGAGCTGTAGAATTAGTAGTTGCTTTAACCAGGTCTTGGCATAGATGAGTGTACGCTTCCAGCATTACATCATTCATTGAAACATCTCAGTTGGTAGTCCACGAGTTCCTGAAGGCTTGTTTTTCACCAGTGCCTTCAGTGCAACTTGACTTTTTCCTCAGTATCATCTGTTCTTGATCATATGATACCTCCTGAAATCATATGATCATATGATACCTCCTGAACATCAACCAATTCTTTTTGGTACATTGACTCTATATATTCCTCCAATCTTCTTTTGATGGTTCCTGCATCAATATTTTTCCATAGAATCCTTTATCATAACTTGAGGCTTGAATTTTTTCAAATCTTTCAGCTTAGGTATTTTCACTTGCCTCATACGCACACGAAAGCTGGACAATGAATAACAAAGACCAAAGAAGAATTGATGCCTTTGGATTATGGTGTTAGCATGGAATATTAAATGTACCATGGACTGTCAGAAAAATGAACAAATCTGTCTTGAAGTAAGTACAGCCAGAATTTTCCTTAGAAGTGAGGCTAGTGAGACTTTGACCCACATACTTTGTTACACGTCACCAGGAAGAAACGATTTCTGGAGAATAACATCATGGTTGGTAAGGTAGATGGTCAGAAAAAAGAGGGAAGACCCTCAACGAGATGAATTGACACAATGAGTGCATCCGTGGGCTCAAACATAGCAATAGTTGTGGGTATAGCAAAGACTGAGCAGTGCTCAAAGTTCTGTTGAGCATAAGGTCTCCTTAAATCAGAACCAACTCAGTGGCACCTAACAGAAACAACAAGGATTAGCAGGCCATGACCCAATAAGACAAGAGTTGTTTAAAAAGAAACCAACTCTCTGGGAATTTTAGAATAAACCCTTTTTAGATTGTAACCTTTGAATGCATCAAAAATCACTTGAAGTGCTTGTTAAAAGACAAGATTGTTGATTCAGTAGGTCAGGGGTGAGACCAAGAAGTTTCATTTGTAACAAGTTCTTAGCTGATACTGCAGTTCCGGGAACGGATTTTTTTTTTTTTAAATAAATGTTTTATTGTGAATTATGTGATAGTTTACATGGGGGACCATTAGTTTTTACATTCATTCCATCATACATAGTTTCATTGCCATAGTTACCATCCTGTCCATGCAATCCTTCCCCCGAACCCCCAGGTCTTCAGCACACAGTTCCTTTCCCCCTCTGGATCTAAAGTCTCCAGTTGCTCCATCTCTCTGCGTCATCGTCTCTGCCTCCATCTCAGGCATCACTGCTTCTCTGGGTGGGGTCCTGCTCTCTGCTCTTCTCCATTGATGGTCCTAGGGCCCTCCGCTCCTAGACTGAAAAGTCAATCACTCCCCTTCTTTTTCTACAAAACGTCCACCTTTACATTTCCAACCGGGAACGTTTTGAGAACCACATATTTCCTTATATCACAGTTCTCAATTTTCTTGTCTGCAGACAAGATGTTCTAGATCATTGTCTGTCATGGAACTAACTACTAAGTAAACCAATTTCTTCTTTTTCTTAACTGAATTGGTCTTTACTTGGACTAAATAATATGTGGTAAAATGGTTGTAAACTACACTGGAACTCAAATAGCCCATAAATCTTGCCCTTTATTTTGCCAACCAGGCTCCCCATCTATATCCATTCTACTCCAGCTATCTATAAAATGCTAGCATTCTTTTAAAAACTTTTTATTGTGATTTTAGTGAATGTTTACTGAGCAAATTGGTTTTCCATTCGGAAATTCACATACATTTTTATTCCTGACATTGATTGCAGACCCCAAAAAGTCACAGCACTCTTTCCACATCCTTCCTGTGTTGGCTTTTCCCATTTATTCTTCTTTCCTATCCCTTCCTGCCTTCTAAGTGGCTAACATTTTTTATATTTGAAATATTACTCCCTTTAATACAACAGTTGGTATAGGAAGTCCATATATTTTCTTATTATGAAAAACTGACCAGACTGGAATTAACTTCTGGTATAACCTGGGTGAGCTATATACACTCTCATTTCTTAGAGCTCTCTGATCAATACAGGGTTTCCAGGTTGGTCTGAGTTCTTCCATTATAAATGCTTATACTTGATAAAATGAAGTATCTCTGGCAGATAAAAATACAATGTGAGGCTCTTCTACTTAAAAAAGATGCAATTTTTTTTAAGAGGCTACTTCTTCTAATGTTTTGTTGTTATTTGTTGTCAAATGGCTTGGAGTTGGCTCTGACTCACAGCGACCTTGTATAGGGTTTCCAAGGACTGGCTGGTGAATTTCAACCACTGATGTTGCGGTTCAAACCAACCTTGAGGTTGAATGCTGATCCTATAGTACCTCACCAATACTCCTGATGTTTAGGC